CCCATTGCCCCTTGTCCTGTCACTGGGCACCACTGAAAAGAGCTTGGCCCCATCCTCCTGACACCCACCCTGCAGATATTTGTAGGCATTAATAAGGTCCCCTCGCAGCCTTCTCTTCTTCAGGCTGAACAAGCCCAGTTCCCTCAACCACCAACAGTATGAACTAAACCCCACGGAAGACTTCAGCCATCAGACTTCCTGCTGGCAAGGCGGCTCCAAAGGTCTGAACCCAACCAACAGAGAGACCCGAACCGCAGGGAAGCGGCTGGATAAAAGGCCAGGCTGAATTTGTGCCCAAATAACTGAGCGCCCATCACAAAGCAGCGCGGCGCTGAGGGCCAGCGGGGTGTGAAACGCAGGCTGCCGCAGAGAAGCGCGCGTGGCTCTGGAGCCGGTGCCAGATACGGGGATGCCGAAACCAACACAGGTTTATCTGCTGCTGCTGCACCCGGCAGAGCTAACGCAGGCAGCAACGGTTACGTTTTAGTGAACACTGGGAGAAGCTGAAAATACAGGCCAAGCCTGCAAACGCTACTAACATTGTATACTCACTCTCAAAAACAATTAATGGTGCAGTGATTTTCTAAAGGATCTGGGGGGGGTATTTTACAGTTTTAAGAAGTCTTTCCTAATGAATCCTTCTGTCATTTTTCATTATTTGAATCTCTGGAGAAATAGAGTTCACTGCAAAATGCTGTGCATAAATTGTTGGGCCACTGTTTCATTTGTGTACAGTACTGTGGGGACAGGTTTTTCCTTCCCCCCCCAAGAAAGTCCCTAATTCCCAAGTATGGAAAAAAGGGATAAAGAACACTCTCATAAGAATAATCTCCTTCAAAAAAATAAGGATTTCTACAGTGTATAACATCAAACTGATTGCTCAGCAGTTGAACATCCATGACATCGATATTACTGTATTTTTAAAGGAATTAATCAATTTTCCTGTACTGTGCATTAGGTCTTTAAAATGTTTATCTCCTGATTTTTTTTTTCCCCGAATTTTAGTACTTAGATTCAGTTAGAGACCAAAGTACTACCAGCTACCACCATAAAATTCAGCTTTGTTCTCATTACTTGTTCTGCTAAAGCCCACCTCTAAACTCATACAGACAGGTGATGCTAAAAGCAAACAGAGCTTTAAGAAACATCAGGCTGTCGGGCTGTTGTAAGAATACAGATAAAATGATTTTTGTTAAGGAGTCTCCTGAAAGTGTATTTTCCTGGAGGTGATTTCTGCCACTACTTGTAACAACAGAAAGGCTTTGGGAAATTAGGGGCTGCGTCCCACTGAGTTAAGTTAATTTCAATCTAGAAACCTGCTTTTGCTTTTGGAAAAGTTACGTTTTCATCTCTTCTGGTAAGATTTCCCTTCCGCCAGCACACTGTGCCGTAAGATAGTCAATGTGCATACTCACTCTAAGCCACTAGCAGCAAAGCACTTCAAGTGAATTGTTATAACTTCAGGCATTTTATCGAACAGAAGGCTGCGTTCTGCTTCTGTGTAATGGTGGCAGTTTTCGCAGAAATATTTGTCCTCTCCCACAATCCTTTCCACTGACGCAAACTGTGAAATTGCCCATTTAAGAGTCTTCACTTCTGTTTTTGGCTCTGGAGAAACTATAAAAGAGAATCGTTACATTCACAGATATACACTATTAATTACATTTCCAGTGCATCCCACCAGAGCAACAACAAAACAAAGTACGCCAAGTTAAGACACGTTCAAAAACTACATCAACGCTGTAAAGAACACTCAATATGCACCAAATAGAAAATGTGTTCAAACCTTTGAATCTTTTCAGGAGTGATAAAAATACCACTTAATGGAGATTATTAGTTAAAATCCATGGTTTTCCCACAGGTTGTCTTCAGACTACACATACTAATTCTGTTGCCGTGTCTGGAAACTGGGTGCAAGTATTTGAGACCAGAACCTCACTCGTTACGGCAAGCTTCCAAAATAACCAGAAAGATCCCTTTCACTTTTTACATCACGCCTGCCCCGACAGCTTCGCGCTGCTGCCGACGAGGTCACCTGCGCCACCGGCAGCGCTTCACGTACGAACATCACCACACACACTGAACTCCGACGCCCTTCAGCAAAAGTAGTCAAAGCTGCTCCAAATTAAGTCCAAGAGGACTAAAATTCATTTATTTCAAATTCTGAATTTCGAAATGAATTGTTGCCATGTTACTTTTGAAAATAGCTAAAAGCTAAGTATAGATCACTAAAATGTGTGAATGATCAAAGGACTAATATTTACAAATATAAACCAAATGCTATTAAGGTACCGACAGTCTAAAATACTGAAAAAAAATGCTTTTTATAGTAAATTAACAAAAACCTGGTTTCTCGTTTATTTTATTTTTGAGAAAAAAAATGCAGGTATTTCTTACAAAATGAAGAAAAAGCAGAAGAATTTCTTATCCTGGAAGAAAGGGAAGACCCAAAATAAAAGAAAATACTTATGTATAAGCAGGAAAACACGCACATAAGTGAAGGATGGTAAGCAGTCTGTGTTAAGACCTGAAACAATTTTCATACTGTCTGGATCTGTCTATGTTATCAGTGTCGTGTTTCCAAAGTCTAAAGTTAATCAGGGCGAGAGATAACAGAACAGCCTCTGATCTTAACCAGCACAAACAGGAGCCGTGTTCCTCAGCAGCTACGGCACCGTCCTTCCTCACTGGCTGGCTGCAGGAGAAACGCACATCCCCAAGCCTTTGCAATAATTACTTACTTTCAGAACTCTCTTCAGTTTTAGAAAGCTCGTCTTCTTGCACTGGAACACTGATGTCCTGAAAATCTTCTCTTCGTTCAGTAAAGCACTCGCACTCCAGGCATCTCGTTCTCAGTACCAGCTGGCCCTGGAACAGTTTCTCCACTAGTTCAAAAACAGCCAGCTCTGTACCTAGAGAAAGCATATGCCAGATCACTTATCACGATGCATTTTATTCCAAAGACGCTTCAGAACCTGGCTATTCTGCTTCCAGAATCACTGTGTGACAGACATGGCCTTCAGGGATTCCAGATCGGAATTGGGGGGGGAAAAAAAAAAAGCAAGCTGCTTATCACATGCCATTTTTGCAATATCATCTACTTGTAACTAAATAGGGAGCCTCTTGGCCGCCAAACTTTAATTTCTGTTTTAAGATCAGGTTCTTGTTTTGCACTTGAAGTGTGACAGTGCCACTTTCTGGAAAATGTGTGTTTGTCATCAGTGCCCTGCCGCCTTAGTGCGGGCTGTCGGCCTCTGCAGGGAACACCACACTTGGGGTTTTGCCTGCTCTCTAGTTATTCTCAGTCCTCTCTTCCAAGGCTTTCTACACTTGTTGGCCAGTTTTAGTCAAATCTGATGAAGAAATGCATTACCTGAAAAAGATTATGCATTCCTTCAAATTTTTATAAAAACTGGTGGGTCGGGAAAAAAGTTCCAAATCGGTAAGTACTGAATTGATACCGAGGCCCTTCCGTCACCAGCTGTCTGGTTTCATTGACATGAACAAAACCCACCCCAGCCAGCCAGTTAGCGTATGTAATACATCCAGTGGCCTCCCTGTTCCTGGGAAGGCTGGAGATACAGAAGGACTGAAGAACATAGAGGAAAGGAGAGGATATCATTTGTAAAGACCTGGGACACAAAGCCATAGCCCATGGGGTTGGGTTCTGTTTGCTCCTGACAGTGACCTTCCTTTACATCTTGAATCCACTTGCTATTTCTTTAGATGACCAAAATTAGTGATAATGTAAACCTGGTAATAGGCTGACATTTTTTTCTATAGTACAGTGATTACAGAGTGTTGGAGAAATACCTCTTAAGTTCCAAGCTATACAGGTCAAGTTATTAAAAAAAGTATAAAAATAAATTCTCTCTCAAAAACCTTTTTCAGTTCCTGAAAATGTAATTTTATATTTAGAGAGCTGTGCTTGCTACGCTGCCTGAGGGCTGACTTCCTCCACACAGTAATTTCATAATCATACTAATTTGAAGCCCATATGCGTGTTCACCAACCTTCCTTTTTTGGCTCTTTTTCAGCTTCGTTTTCATTGTGGCTTTCCACAGGAGACGCTGGTTCACGATATTCTTCTTTAACATTGTTACCATTTTTGCACTTGACAGATGACTCTTCGAGCTCACAGTCGTGGTATTCTTTCCCTGGGTCTTTGGATCCCAAGTTTGTAGTTAACTTTCCTAGACTATAAAATTTAGAAAGAATACTAGGCTGTTTGCATGAAGATTTTAACCAGTTTAACCTAAGCCGTGACTTCTTCTGTGTTGGCTTCGCACTCTCACTTTCACTGGAGCACTTGGCAATGGCATCAGTTTGATTTTCTAGCTTCTCTCCTGTTGCTTTCCTCTTTGACCTGGTTTGTCGTTGATTTTCTTCTGCTGCCACCTGCTCTTTCGATACTTTGGATTTTTTCTTCGCGTTGCCACCCTCGGCATCGCTTTTTCTCTTCCCGTTTCCTTTGAGTAGCTTGTCTTCGGCTGCCTCTCCAGCCTGGCCATTCGGTACGTTCTCCTCCTCCTCCTCTGCAGGACCGCCAGTTCCGTTGCTCTCAGTATTCTGATGAAGTTTTGCCTCCAGTGCAGCTGTAGGCTCTTCCACGGGCAGTCTGTTCAACTCTTCCTTCTTCAGGAGCTGGCACGTTTCTTGAATGTTACCCAGGATACACTGCAGAACCTCCTGGGCATCGTGCTGCAGGTAGCCTTCATACATAGGGTTGAGCTCTCTAGTAAAAGTAAATGAGCAAGGCAATGAAGACCAATTATTCTTTACTAACTAGCTAACATGATTTGAGAACTAAATTGGGTAGTTAGATACAAAAGCAGGGGAGGATCCTCTCCAGGCCTAGCGAGCCGCGGGAAGGTAGCCACAGCCCTACGCATTTCAACACCCATCAACCCAGCAGTGGTCCTTGTCAGGTCAAGGAGAACACCTACCTACCTAAGGCTACGTACTTTGCCTTCACATTCATGCCACCCTTATGCAAAGGATATCCAAATACCCAGGATATCCTTACCCAAATTAATTATCCTGTGAGATCACAGGGCTAACAGGAAACACAGGAAGCTGACTTCCTACACCGACGCCCCGACTTTAAGACCATCTACCTCCCGCAGGTCTCTAACGCTGTGCTGCGCTGCACAATGACCTCGGAACTTCAGGTGAAAATTCAGACAAGGTGTTTAAGGTAATTTGTACCTAAGGGTATTTAGTAGCCTTCGTGGCTGAGTAGCAAGTTCATCGGTGTATTTTTCTGGATTTAAGAGAAAGCTGGCTTGAAGCTGCTCCACTGAAAGGATCAACGAGTGCAAACTGCAGATGAGTTCGTAACTCGCCAGTGGATCTTCTTTACAATTCCCCTGCAACGACAATATGAAAAGAAAGAAAGATACTTGCAGTTTTGTCTGTAACAAGTTCAACTTTTTCTCTCCTGCCCTCACTTAGTTTTCTAACAGACATTTGACAGATTTTTTTGTGTGCTGTGGGAAGCAGGTGAGTTTCAGACAACACATTGCTCTTTTGCCAACAGAGCACAAACAGGTAAGCCAGACCAGCTGTTATTTTTAAAAACCCAAACCGTCTTTGCCCAAACTCCAGTTTCCATCCCCTCAAAGTACTGTATCGTGATTATCTTCACATCAGAAGCATGGCGAGATCTCTTCTCACATTTCTTCTGTTAAACTTGAGACGCGTGCCTACAAGTTTGCAGAGATGCTCTGAACGCTCGAGTTTGAACACAAGTTCAAAACAACCCAAACACACCTTTACCCAAAATAGCACTGTAGAAAACAACGCTGCAAAACTTCTTACAAGCAGAAGAAATTCACTGTTACATTCCCATTACGCTCCTGGCGTGCAGCCTCGCTGGTGCAGTTACAAGTAAAGAAACGTGTTGTGAGATGTATTACCTTTTCTGCTCTTTGCTCTCCTTCATCCTTCAAAGATTCTTTCTTCTTTGAAATGATGTTATACAAATGTTTGACTCCAGTTTTAAAACCAGGACAAAAATACAATACCTGAAAGCAACAGTTTAAAACAAGAGAATAATTGGTAAAGTAAGTATGTTACGTACACTCCCTGCTCCCCTTTACGATCGAACCAGCTCTGCATCTCCCCAGGCTGCGGCCCAGCCGGCGAAGATGCAGGATTATTCAGAGCAAGGGAGGTGCCCGGAGTACATAAACTGAAAAATTACCCAACCCAGGCAACCCACGGCGCACGAATTCCTGCAGCATCACCTTTTCTCCCCACTGCAATTAGATTCCCTTCACACTACGTCCAAACATCTCTGCTGCATCAAACTGCGAGTCTCACCCGCGTGGGCCTAACCAGAAGAAAATCATCTTTTCGAGACCCCTGAGCGTGGTCTTACCTGAAGTACGCTGTTCAGGTAACAAGTGTTACCCAGATTGTTCAAGCCCACGAAAGGCAACATGTTGTCTTTTTTCTCACAGCTGACAAGCGAGGGAGGCTGCACCGCAGGAACCACCTGATCACTATTCGAGAAAACAGTGTGTAAGAAACAATTTCTGAGAATGACTCCTCCTGGTGCGCGCGCTCGTCTCTCCCGGCCATCTCCCATCTCGGAGCTAGCCTACAGAACTGGTGGCCAATATACACAGATCAAAATCGTGTCAAAATGTTTCTGAGAGCGTCCTTAAGGCCTCTCTGGGCACTCAGACTGCTCAACTGTAAGGCTTCTCTTCAGCGACCTACCCAAAACCAGACCGGTTTACAGGAAGCAGGCAAATCTGCTGTTAGTTCCAAGACAGGTTTTGCAAAAAGTATCAGGAGACTGACTGAAGGAACCAAGAAAGTTCTCTTCAAAATGCTTTTGTGTGTTCTTTTTAAAATACTTCTGTATGTTCTTTGTTCCTTCCTAAGGGAACGCTGGGAAAAACGTGCCTAGCACCTATTTTCTGTTACTGTCCCCTGCTCCAGATTCACATCGCTTCATTTCTGGAAGCAAACCGAAAGGATAAGACCAGCACAGTTAAAAACAAACAAATAAATAAAAGGAACCGATGAACCTGGCACGTTACATACAGCGATGATGCACTGTACCGACACCAGAACCGAACTTTGAAGTCTCCAACACATTCGTAATTGACTGTGACTACGAAATTTTTCTTTCCCCTGCTCAGATCTTGTAATGAAACGGGTTGGCAGCTCTGCTCTGAAACACCCTAAGGAATGGCAGTAAGCAGCCAGAATAACCTCTAAACCCCAGCAACTTCTCGTTAAAACTCATATTGCAAAGCCTTATGCACTTTAAGTAAGTCAGGAGCAGGGTAACCACCGTGCGCTAACTTGGGACAAGGTCAGCCCCTCAAGTTACCGCAGGGTTTACGCTCGTTGCTCTCAGGCCGGCCCTAGGAGCGCGCTGCGCGGAGCCCGGCCGGCGGCCCCGGCCTGAGGGGC